TATAATAATAGTAATAATAATAAGTTTAATAATAAAGGATATTAGTCATTAATATAAATAATAACTACGCTAAGTAATAAAAATAAAGTTTATATTAATATACTTATTAATAAGCCCCCCTTTTATATATATTATAAGGTCTTTATAAAAAAAAAGATATTATTTTTATTAAAATTAAATAGGCTTTTAAAAAAACCTAAACTAAACTTTAAAAAGAATTTAATAACTATCGCCTAATTTTTTAATATTTTTATATAATATATTTACTTTTAAAAGTATAATAGGCTTATTATTCTATTTAAAAATACTAAAACTTTAGTATTTATATTACTTTTAATATTAAATTAAGTAATAATAATATTAAAAGTTATCTTTTAAACGGTCTTAATTACTTATATCGATTTATTAATATTATATAAGATATAATTAATAATTAAAAGATACGTTTTAAATAAGCTTATATTAAAAATAAAGTACTTACGGGCCGGGAGTATATAAATGCTCGCTTTAAATACTTAAGTAAACTTTTAATAATACTTTTTTTAAAATATTTTATATTAATTAAGAAATAATACCGATTAATAAAAAAATAATACTGTTTAATAAGAGGTTATTCCTAACTTTTTTTAAAAACTATAGTTTAAACTATATTATTTGAATCAAATTAAATATCCTATACTATTATAAAATCTATTTTAAAATAATAAATTTAATTATTTTAAATAAATAAAAAGTATACCCTCGGTAGTATTTTTAAAAAACGGTTTTTTTAAATTTATACCAATAGATTTTTAACCTTAAGGTTATTATATCCCTTTATAATAAGCTGAAAAATATAATATAGCTTATTTTATTATAATTAGCTTTATTAAAAAACAGTTAATTAATTAATTAAACCCGTATTATTTATAGTAACTAAGGCGTAAATACTAAATAATAAAGTTACTTACTTAAAAATAAAAATAAATCGACGTTAACTAAGCTTATATAAAAAATATGTTAATTAAGTTCAAGCTAAATATTAACCTTATCTTAACGATAAATAAAAAGCTAGTTTAACGTTCTTAATAAAAAAGAAATAATAAAGAATTATATAAATAAACGGCTAATATAACTTAATATTTAAAAACAACAGAGTTAATAAAAAAATAATTTATAATAATAATAAATTTTTATAACTATATAATAAAAAGTAATTAAATAATAAGCCTTTTTAAAGGTTATATAGTATTTATTTAAAATTTATAAAACTATAATATAAATAAATTATAATACGTATTTTTAAAAATTTTAAATTAAAGCTTAAGTTAAAAAAAAAAGTAAAAATAACTATATTATTATAGTTATTTTTACCGTTTTTATAAAAAAGTATTGTTTTTTTAAATTAATTAAAAAGCCGAATAACGACGCCGGTATAAAAATAATACCGGTATATTAATTTATAACGCCGGTATATTAATTCTTATTTTTTATATTAAAAGCTAATATTATTAATTAAAAAAGCTATTAAAGTTATTAGCCGCCGGGTTAATATTAAAACTTACCATATTTATATTATTATTTAAAAATAACTCTTAAATTTTATATTTATTTAATAAGATATTTATAATATTAAAACTTTTATAAATAAAAAGAAATTAAACGGCTATTCGCTAAAAGTTATTTTAATAAAGTTTTTTGATAAGCAAAAAGTATTTTATATTATAAAATAAGTTAATAACGAGCTTAACCGGCTTATTAAGTTAATATAAATATTCTTATTTTATTTTTTAATATAGAAGCCAATTTTAAAAGTAATTAATTTTAATAATATATGTAATACAAATCGTTTCAAACTTCCGCTGTTTTAAACTATTAATTAAATATATATTAAATCTATTTTTAACGTAATGTTCGGCCTTATCAATAATAAAAAATTAAAAAAGTTTTAGTTTTTTATAAAAAATATCCGTTAATTAATTAACTAATATTTAATTTATTTATTAAATATTATTATTACCGATTATAATAAATAAATAAAAGCCGTTTTAACTTATAAATTCGTTAATATATAATAATAGTTTTATATTTATTATATTAATTTTAATATTATATTTAAAGTTAAATAAAAGTAAATAAAAAAAAACAGTTGAAAAGTATTAATAATAGCTCGGATTATAAAAACGATATTAAGTTTTTAAGAATGTTAATAATAGAATTAAATAATAAAAACTAAATATATATTTATATACTTATTAATAATTTAATTTTTTATATATATTATAAAATTTTTATAATATAGAAATTCGTAATTTTTATTAAAACTAAGGTTAGTTTTAAAAAAGTATAAAATTATTTTTATAAAGAGTTTAATAATTAATAATTAATATTAAGCTATTTTTATAAAATATACTTTTTTATTAAAACTTAATAAGCTTATTATTATATTTAAAAATATTAAAATTTTAATATTTATATTATTTTAAAAACCGAGTTTAATAATAATAATATTAAAAACTATTTCTTTAATAGCTTAAGTTATTTATATTAATTTATTAATATTATATAAAATATAATTTAAAATTAAAAGTTACGGTTTATGTAATCTTATATAAAAATAAAATATTAACTACTTATTAATATATTAAAACTAATTTAAAATATTTAAGTAAACTCCGAAATATACTTTTTTTTAAAATATTTAAAATTAATTATAAAATAATATTATCGACCAATAACTATTTACGGCCGTTTTTTAATAAAGATTATATCAACGATTATTTTATTTTAATATAGTTAAGTATTTTTTATTATTATATAATCTATATAAAGCTTATAATTAAGATATTTTTTAAAAAATAAAATATTTATTTTTATTAAAATTAAAAAAAACGTTTTTAAAAGACTTATATTATTAAATTTTAAATTTTAAATTTATTATATTTTTTTATAATAAGCTAAAAAACTTAATATAATTTATTTTTAATTGATTAATTATATAAAAAGATAGTAATTTAAAAGCTTAATATAAAGAAAATATTATTAATAACTTTTAAAATAACTTAATAAAGCTATTTATTAAAAAGCTCTAATAAAACGATTATCGTAAAGCTTAAATAATAAAAAAATAATTGATTTATAACTTTATTATAATTTCAAATTAAAAATTAATTTAATAAATTTAATATAAAAAAAGTTTATAAAAATATAAGCTAATAAACGGGTATTAAAAACGAGTATTTTAAAAGAAACGTATAAATAAAAACTATTATTTAATAATAATAACGAGGCCGTTTTTTAATGGACACGGTTATTTAAATAAGGCTTTAATAAAATTTAATATTAATTTAATATTTATTATATATTATAATAAAGAAATATAAAAGTGTAAAAGCTAAAAATAAATATAATGTAATTTAATATAATATAATTTGAATAAATATATTAAAATAAGAAAATATTAATAAAGGAGCTTTTACCGCTTTTAAAACGAAGTATTTATAATTTATATATTTTTTAAGCTAATAATAGTAAGTATTTATTATGCTCGTGTAAGAGTTATGCCCGTATATTAATTATTTATACCTATGTATTAATTCTCTATATAATATAATATATTAATAAATATGATAAATTAAAAACTCTTTATAAATAACGTACGGTATATTTAATTTTCGTAAAAAATTAAATAATATTTAATATATTCCATAACTAACATTTTTTTTTAAAAAAAATAAAAGTTTTTAAACTTTATTAATAATCGCTCGGTTTTAATATAGAACGTATTAAATTATTAATTTAAGAATATAAAACCGGCGGTTATTATTAATCGTAATATAATATAATAACTTTTTCTTATTTAAATATTAAAACGTAAAAAATTATTATACTCTTTAACGTTTTTTTTATATCACTTTATTAACAATAATAATTTATAATAATATATAACGTATTTTATTAATTAGCCGCGTATATTAACTAGCCGTATACTTTTTTTATAACGCGCTTTATTCTTAACTATTTAAACTTTGAAAATATAATAATTCAATAACTATAATACTAATCTATATTTAAAAAAATAAAAATATTTTTATTATTAAAACGATCCGAGCTATACGTATTATAAATTCAAAATTTAATATATAACGCGTTATAAAAATATATAATATCTTTAAAATTATTTTATATAATAAAATAAATAATTAATTAAGCCGCGATTAAATTTAATTTTAGTAATATAAACTCGATCTAATTAAAAGAAAAATACTTTTTTAATATATTATTAAATAAGAGTTTAAAAGATTCTTTTACGATTTATTAATATAAAAAATATAATTAATTTTTGTTGGACGCGAAATAGGACGTTTCTTAAAAAGTATTAAGCTAAAAAGTTTATTAACTTATAATCGATTTTAAAAATCAAATTTATTTATTTATAGAATTATTAAAAAGTTTTTCAAAAAGATTTAAAAATTATTTCGAAATAGTTTATATTATTACATAATATGATAATTAAATACGGTATTAATAATAAAGATCTATATAACTTTAACGAAATTAGCTTTATAATAAGCGTTATTATTAAATTAATAATCGTTACGTATATTAATAAATATAAAAAAGCGAAATCTGTTTAGTTTAATAACCGTAAATAGATTATAATTATTAAATATATTAATTTAAAAAGGTAATATATCCCGTTTTTTATAATCGTTTAAAGGTTTTATTATTTTATTAATTAATTAACGGAATCCGGTTTCCTAAGCGACAAAGTAATTAAACTAATTATTAATAAATAAACCGATAATAAAACTAATTTAAATTAAATTAAATATTTTAATAAATATACTTAGGCCTATATAAAAAATATTTATTAAATATTTATAATCGATAAATATAAAAGCTATTTATCGGCCAAATTTAATAAATATTATAAATAAAATAATATTATAACCGTTAATATACCCCTATATTTATTTTATCTATTTTAATTATTAACTATTACGTTTTATTTTTTTTGAAAACGTATATATAAGAATAAAATTAATTTATTTATTAAATCCTCCGTTAATTATATTATAAAATTTAAGTTTTTTATAATTTTCCGTAAGGCTTATAATAAAATCTTTTTAAATAAAAATATTAAATCTATTTTTTATAAAGTTAGAATTTTATTATAGGATTTAAATTATATAATTAAAAGCTCGATATATATATATAAACGCTTATATTTTTTATAATCTATTTTTTAATATTATTAATTTAGTAATTATAAACGCTTTTTAACCGTTACGAAGCGCTTTTATAATTAAATTTATTAAAATTCGGATTTTAACTTATTAAAAAAGCTTTTTAATATTAATAATTAAAATAGTTAATCAATTAATAAAAAATATATAAATAATAGCGTATTTCATTATAATTTTAATAAATTAAATACGTATATTTTAAAATATTAATATAATATTTATTAAATATTAAAAAACGAAAAATATATATATTTAATTTAAAAAAATATTTAATATAAAAAAATCTTAAGTTTATTTAAAAAAAATAGGTAAAAAAAAACGTTTAACGCTTAAAAAAAATAAAAAAAAAGGTTTATTAAAAAGAAATCGGTCGGTTTAATAGCGTTATAATATATATAATAAGATAAGTTATAATATATAAACGTATTTTAAAAATATAGAATTGTTTAGTAATTTAAATATTAATAAGAGTTAATTAATATTATATATTATAATTATATAAATTTATAAAATATTTAAAAAGTTAAAAAAAGTACGTAGTTAATTAATATACGTAGCTAATTGATAAAGGGAATTAATATAAAAGTATATAAAATTAATATAAAAATATGCACCTTATAACGGCATACATATCTACTATCCTAATTAGCTTAAAGTTTTATTATTAATATATTTAAATTCTACCGGTCTATTTTTATATATTCTCCTTATTTTAAATTTTCTTTATTATTATAATTTTTATATTTAAAATTAATATATATTACTTTTAATAACTAAACCTCGGCGTAATTTACGCCGCTAAGTTATATAATATAGCTTTAGTAACGTAATATATCTTTTCAAACGCTAACATATAAATATATTATTATTTTTTTTAATTAGTAGTTATTTTAATATTAGTTAATTTTATAAAGTTAGCAATTTTTAAATATATAATAACTTAATTAGCGATTTTTCAACTAAATTATTATAAGAAATACGACTATTATTTTACTATTAGCCTTATTATTTTAGAATCGAATTAAGATTTTATTTTAAACGCCGTTTTTTAAATAAAACCGACTTTTTTTTAATTTATTATATTATATTAAATTTTATTTACTTATAGCGCCCCCTTTTTTAATATTAAATATTTTAAATTTATATTTTATTTTATACGCCGTTTTTTAAAAAAATATAAAATATTTAATATACTACTTTTTTTTATATTTCGCTAAAGCCGAATTTATCGTTTTTTAATAATAACTATTAAAACTTTTAATAGCTTATTTTAAAATATTTTAATAATATTTTTAAGTTTATTTAATAAATTATTAATATTAATGGAAGATTAATAACGGCTTTTTTTTAATAATATAAACTAAACCGTTATTAATAAAAAACATAAAGTTTTTAAATAAACTTATTATTTTTATATTTACTTTTATAATAAAACCCTGCTTTGAGTTTATTATTTTTTTAAATTATAGCTTTTTATTATATTTAATTTAAAAAATCTTTTTTTCTTTTTTTGAACGCTATTTTAAACTTATTAATTTTAAATAGTTTAAAACTTATTATAAAGACCTTTTTGAATTAATTTAATATATTTATAAAAGTTAATTGATTTAATATTATTAAATGGTATAAATATAATTTTCGAATAAGTCGGCTTATATAATACTTATTTTAATATAATCGATTTAATAAATTTAGTTTTTTAAAAAATATAAATATTTAATAACGAAGGTTTTAAAAATATAATTATTAATAATGAATAATTATAAAAACGTAAAAAGAAAAAAAATAGCTTTTATATTATTTATTAAACCCTCGTTATAATTAATATAATTATTAATTAAGTTTTAAAATATTTATTTACCCTTTATATTAAAAGCTTACTTAATTTATTAAAAATTTTATCCAAAATATAAGCCGTTATATTAATATTTAAATACGTAACGTCCGTATTATTATATAAGAACAATTTAAATTCCGTATTTATTTAATATAATATTTATAATATTAAAATACGCTTAAATTAAAAAAAGCTAAATAGTTATTAACTAACGGCCGTATTAATTAAGTTGTTTAATAAGCGATAGATTCCCTATATTATTAAATAAATTAATAACGAGCCGGACCGTTTTATTAAACTTATTTAAACTTTTCTTTACTATTTTTAAATATAAAAGCGATTTTTAAAAATAATTAATTTTAATAATACTTATAATACTAATCGCTTTAAGCTTTTATTATTCTAAGTAACTAAGTAAACGTGCCTTAAATCTATTTATAATATAATATTCAATTTTATTAATAATAAAAAGTTAAAAGGCTTCCGATTTCTTTTTAAAAATATAAAATAATTAGTTAAATAATATTTAATTCGTTGCCCTATAATTATCATTATAAACTATAATAAGTAAATAAAAGCTATATTTAATAAAAAGTTTTTAAATACTTAATAATAGCTCTATATTTACTATATTAATTTTAACGTTATATTTAAAATTAAATAGAAATAAATTAAAACCGGCGGTAATAATAATAATAATAATAAATTCAATATAAAGGATTTTTAAATAATAATTTAAGTAATAACGGAGTTTAATAGAAGAAACCGCGCCTATATTAATATAATAGTAAATTAAACTATCTTATATACTTACTGCAGGGTATTTATTATATAAAAACTTATTATTTTTATTAAAATAAAATAAATTTTTAAAAAATAATAAAAAAGGCTTTATAATAAGTTCGATAATTAATATTTAATTTTATAATACTTATATTTAATATACTTATTTATAAAAATATAATAAGCTCGCTATTTTATTTATTAATATTAAAACTTTAATATTCGTATTATTTTTAATATTAAAATTAAATAATAATAATATTAAAAGCTACTTTCTTACCGGTCTTAATTATTTATATTAACTTATTAATATTATATAAAATGTAATTAATAATTAAAAAGTATATTTTCGCTAAGCCTATATAAAAAACGAAATACTTATCGGCTAAGATTATCTCCACCCTTATTTAAAATACTTTAACAAACTTCGGATTATAATTTTATTAAAATATTTTAGATTAATTATTAAATAATACCGGCTTTTATATGAAATAATAATTTTTAAAAAAAGGCCGTTTTTACTCTTTATTAAAAAATATAATAATAATTATTTTATAATAATTAAGCTAAGTATCTCGTATTATTATAAGATTTTTTGAAAAATAATAGAATTATTGATTTTTAATAAATAAAAAGTTTATTTATAATAACGGTTTTAAATAACGTCTTTTTTTAATCTTTACCGTCGGATTTTAAATTTAAAAATTATAATATCTTTTTATAATAAATTAAAAACTATACTATATTAAGTTTTTATAAAGCTTACGTTATTTTAATAAGGCTAATAATTTTAATACTAAACTATTATAATATAAAATAATTAAAGCTCGACCGGCAGTAAACGAAACCGCCCGCTAAAAAACCATAATAAATTATCGTTAATTAAAAACTTATAAAGGGCCGGCTATTTAATCTTTAATTAGGCCCTAAACTAATCTTAATAATAAATAAAAAGTTAATTCAATCTTTTTAATAAAAGAAAAATAATAAAAGGTTATATAAATAAAAGGCCGTTATGATTTAATATTCGAAAACGGTAAAGCGAATAAGAAAAGATATTAAATAACGGCGAATAAAAGAATTTATAATTATATTATTTATTTATTATTTAAATAATTTATTATAAGTTAACGTTATAATTAAAATAAAAATAACTATTTATTTATTTTTTCGTTAAGGTTAAAGACTTTATAAATACCTGATAAGGAATAATTTAAAATATATACTATTTAATAAAAGTTTTAAAATTATTAAGTTATTAAAATATTATTATAAATATTTTTATTGCTTTTACGGGAATAAATTATAATTTTAAGTTAATTATGATAGTAAATATATATACCGCTATAAGATATATATTTTTATATTAATTTTATATATTTTTATATTAATTTTATATATTTTTATATTAATTTTATATATTTTTATATTAATTTTATATATTTTTATATTAATTCCCTTAGTAAAATACGTTAATATTCTTTACCTAAATCTTTTATAATATATATAAAATCCTTTATAAAACGTAACTATTTATAATATTAATAACCGTTAATAGTTTTTTATGTTAAATTTTATAATAACGTTATAATTATAATTACTATTATTTTTAATAAATAACTTTTATTTATTATATTTTAAACTATGGTTTAAAAAACGGTTTTAAACATTTTAAAATTAATATTTCTTAACTCGTTTTTATAAAAAAAAAGCTTTATAAAATTAGGTTTTTTATTAAATAATTTTAAAGATATATTTAAAATAATATTTAACTTTTTTAAATTATACATAATTAATAATTTAAATTAAAGAAATAGTTTATTATATCTAAAAATCTAAGTTAACTTTTATTAAAATTTATAATTTATAATAAAATATAAATAAAGACCTTTTTTATAATAATATAATTAATTGAAATATTTATTTTATAATAATTAAATTATAAAAGTTTCCTATTCTTCTTTATAATATATATAATTACAGCTATTTTAGTTTTTATAATATTATATTATTTCTTAATTATAATTATAAATTAAAAAAGAAATGCCGGCTTAACGTACTTTAAAATATATTCTTTATAAAAAGATTCTTTTTATAATTAATATATAATTAAAATATTATTAAATTAAATTTTAAAAATACGTATTAAATTTAAAAAATAACGGTTTTTATATATTATAATAAGTTGTTTTTATTTAAATATAAAAACAATATTATAAAAAGTTCTATATTTTAATTTATTTTTAATATAAATTTAAAAGTGTTTTTTTAATAGTTTTTATATAGTAAACGTAAATCTTTTTTTAATTAATCTTTTATATAAAAGTTAATATTTAAATATATTTTTTATCTATTTAAAAAACATAATATTATATTATATTAAAAGATCCAAATATATAACTATTTTATTATAATAAAATATATTTGGAAGTTTTTAAAATGTAATAAAAATTAATGTTTTAAATAATTAAATATAATTATTTATTTTATAAATCCCGTTCTATTAATAATATTTTAAAAAAGTATTATTTTAAGAAATTTAATAAAAGACTTAACTATATTAATATAAATACGGCTTTTATTAAAAATAATAATAAAAGTTTTAAAATATTCAAAATCTTTTATTTTATTAACATTAAAAATTATAATATTATTATTATATATTTATATAAAATACCGGTATTTAAAAAATAATTAACTTTTAAATTATTAAATATATATTAAAATATTTTAATTTACAAGGGTTAATTATAATTATATAATTATTATATTTTAAATATACGTTTAATTCATAAAAAGGCCTCAATACGTTAAATATAAATATTACTTTTTTTCATAATATACTTTACTAATTAACTACGTATATTAATTAACTATATACTTTTTCTAACCTTTTAAATATTTTATAAATTTATATAATTATAATATAAAATATTAATTAACTCTTATTAATATTTAAATTATAAAACAATTTTATATTTTTAAAATAAGTTTACGTATTATAATTTATTTTATTATATATATTATATTACTTTTAAGCCGACCGACTTTTTTTTAATAAACCCTTTTTTCTTATTTTTTTTAAGCGCTAAACGTTTTTTTTTTATTTTTATTTTTTTAATATAACTTAAGATTTTTTTATATTAAATATTCTTCTAAACTAAATACGTATTTTATTTATTTTTTAGTGTTTAATAAACGTTATATTAATATTTTAAAAAATATACATTTAATTTATTAAAATCGTAATTAAATACGTTATTATTTATATATTTTTTATTAACCGGTTAACTATTTTAATTATTAATATTAAAAAGCTTTTTTAATAAATTAAGATTTAAATCTTTATAAAATTAAATTATAAAAACGCTTCGTAGCGGTTAAAAAGCGTTTATAATTATTAAATTAATAATATTAAAAAGTTAGTTATAAAAAGTATAAACGTTTATATATATATATATTAAGCTTCTTAATTATATAATTTAAGTCTTATAATAAAATTCTAATTCTGTAAAAAACGAATTTAATATTTTCGTTTAAAAAGATCTTATTATAAGTTTTATAAAAAATAATAAAAAACTAGGACTTTATAATATAATTAATAAAAAGTTTAATAAATAAATTAATTTTATGTTTATATACGCGTTTTAAAAGCGAATAAAATGTAATATTTAATAATTAAAGTAAAAAAATTAAATATAAATGTATATTAATAATTATAATATTATTCTATTAATAATATTTGTTAAATTCGGTTAATAAATAGTTTTCGTATTTATTAATTATAAATATTTAATAAATACTTTTTATATAAGCCCGAGTATACTTATTAAAATACTTAATCTAGTCTAGGTTAGTTTTATTGTTGGTCTATTTATTAATAATCGGCTTAATTACTTAATTACTTTAAAAACCGGATTTCGTTAATTAATTAATAAAATAATAAGACCCTTAAACGATTATAAAAAATAAAATATATTACCCTTTTGAATTAATATCTTTAATAATTATAGTTTATTTATAATTATTAAACTAAACGAATTTTATTTTCTTATATCTATTAATATACGTAACGATTATTAACTTAATAATAACGCTTATTATAAAACTAGTCTTATTAAAATTATATAAATCCTTATTATTAATACCGTATTTAATTATTATATTATTTAATAACGTAAACTATTTTAAAATAACTTTTAAATCTTTTTAAAAAGCTTTTTAATAACTATATAAACAATTAAATTTAGTTTTTAAAATTAGCTACGAATTGATAAACTTTTTAGCTTAATACTTTTTAATAAGTGTTTTATTTTATATTGAAAATAAAAAATTAATTATATTCTCTATATTAATAAATCGTAAAGGAAATTTTTTAAAATCCTATTTAATAATATATTAAACAAATATTTTCTTTTTAATTAAATCGAATTTATATTATTAAAATTAAATCTAGTCGCGGCGTAATCGATTATTTATTTAATTATACAAAAACTTTTAAAAATATTATATATTTTTATAGGGCGTTGTATATTAAATTTTTAATTTATAGCGTATATAGCTCGGATTATTTTAATAATAAAAATAATCTTATCTTTTTAAATATAAATTAATATTATAATTATTAAATTATTATACGTTAAAAGTTTAAATAATTAAGAATAAAGCGTGTTATGAAAAAAGTATATGGCTACTTAATATACGCGGCTAATTAGTAAAGTATATTATAATAATTTTATAATATTATTTTAATTTAATAAAAGATAAATGTCAAATATTATCTATTTATTAATTAATTTTATATTAATTATTATACGTTTTTTAATTTTATTTCTATTCGTATTGCACTTTTAAATAATAAAAAGAAAATAATAACTACGGCCTTATTATTTATTTTATTTTATTTAAAACGTTTCGTTTTTTAAGCTTAAAATTAATAAATATTTTATTCATAATATTTAATAAAACCTTCTAGACTGGTTATTTTTAATTCTATTATTTATCTAAAAAGTTAATATATATTTTATCTTTATTTATAATAAAAAAAGTTTCATAATTATAATAAAAGTCGACCTTATTAAGTATTTTAATAAGTTTATTAATACAAAATTAACTTTAATTATATACCTCGACACCGTATTTATTTTTAATTATTAATATTAATTTTGATTTTACATTTTTGTATACTAATATATTTTTTTAATATTTAAATATATTATGATTAATATTGTTTATAATTAAAAAAATACTTTTTTTATTAATTTATACGGTTTTCTTTTTAGTATATACGAATAAAAGAAATATTATTAATTATTTACGTTATTTGTTTATTATTATTATAAAATAAAATAACCGAGTTTTAATCTTTATTTAATAAAAATTAGTTTATTTACTTAAATGAATATTAAAATAGCGTATAAGCTAGTATAGTTATAAATAACTTTTAATCCCGTAAGATATATAAAATATAAAATATATTCTGTATTCTTATTATTACTACTTTTATATTTAAATAAATTAATAAAATAAATAAATATAATTTTGTATTTATTTAATAAAATCGTATAATTATTTATTATAATAACTTTATATATAATAAAGAATTGTTTTTTAATAAATACGTTTAAAATAATAGTATATGCTAAGTTAAAAATAACTATTTATTTATTAAAACTTACTATAAGCTTATATATATTATAAAATAAATATATTAAATAATACTTATTTTACGAGATTGTTAATAATCACGATTATAATTAATAAATAGGCCTTAATATTTATTTTATAAATAAACTTAAATAAATAAAAATTAAAAATAGTTTTTTTTATAACCATAAGATTTCTATTAACCTTTTATATCTTTTTTATTTTTATTAGCTTAATTACCGGCTATTACGGCTAGCTAGTCGTAGTGAGGTTTATATTAATAAAAATCGGGGCTGCGATATTTATAAATAATAATTATCGTTAAAATAGCTTTAAAAAAGCTATAATTTATAAATTATAAAGTAAATAAGGCTTTGGTAATTAATCGTAGTTTTATTAAATTAACTTTTAATAAAAATAATTAAAAGCGATCGTAAGATTTAATATAAAGTTAATTATTAATGAAATTATAAGAGTTTATCCTCGAGCTTAATTTGTAACTATTTTATATATAAATCTTAATCGTAAATATATTCTTTATTTATATATTTATTTAATAAGTTTTATATTTTTAAAATACGGGATCCGTTTAATTAAAAAGCGGACTTTATACATTAAATATATAAAATATTTTATTTTATTATTATATAACTTATTTAGAATTTTTTCGTTTTATTAAAATAATATATATATTTTTATATTTTATATTATATATAGTATAATAATTACCGTAGGCCTATAAAGCGAGTTTTTAATCTTATTATATATATTAAATCGTAATATTAAGTTTTTTCTTTTTTAAAATCTAGTCTTATAAACCTATAAATAGGAATTAATATACGGGCATAAATAATTAATACACGGGCATGACTTTTACATAAGTATAATAGCTATATACTATTATTAACTTAAAAAAGCTATTACCCTATCTTAATTCTACCGGTCCTACTTAAAATATTTAAAAAAATTTTAATATATAATCGTAACGCGTCGTTTATATTAATTAATCGAGGCTTTATCGCTATATTATTTATATTAAAATCTTTTATATTTAAATCCGCCCTTCCGTTATTAAAGTATAACCCGCTATGTTAAGTTAAGAGCTCGAGCTTAAATAACGAGCTTAATTTAAAACGGTAACGTAATAAATATTTTTTTATTTTATAACCTTTTATTATTAATAATTTAAATATAAATATTAATAATTATTATAGCCTTAGTGATAATAAAACGTTTAAAAATATTTTTATTTTTTATTTTAATCGGTTTTATTAAGTTATTTAATTTTATAATTCATATAAGAACGACCCGGTATTTATAAAAATATAAAATAATTACGAAATCTTTTTTTATAAAATATTTCCGATAATAACTATTTAAACTTATCGAGTTATTATATTAATATTTAATTTAGAATACGGTTTATTTTTATCGTATTTTATTTTCAAATTTATTTTATAAAACGAGGAGTATTAACTTATATAAACTGCTTTTATAAAAAAATTTAAATCTATATTACGCTTAGTTTAAAAAGTAATAAAAAAAGGGTAATAATTAATTAAAAAACTTTTTGATTTTTTTAAATAAGTTCGATAATAATAATAGAAATAAGGTTATTTATTATATTTATTTAATACGTTTACTTTATTACCTTTATTTTTATATTCCTCTCTTTATTATTCGAGGTATTATGTTACCGATTTTTAAATAAATTTAATAATTTTATTATTATAGGGTTTTTATTTTTTAAATTAACGCTCGTTTTCGATTTTACTTAACTTAATTTTAAATTTATAAATTTTTAATAATATAAAATTTATAATCGACGCCCTATTCGATTAAGTTAATATATTTATTAAAAAGAACGGGTTTAATATTATTTATTAATATAGATATATATATAAAAGTAAAAAAATAAAATATATATTTTAATACGATCGTTTTAATAAACCGCGGCTTATTAAAAATATAAGGTTATATTAACGAAAATTATAAAGGTATAATTATAAATAAATAATTATTATTAAGATAAAAAAAAAGGGCGCTTAGCTTTTATAACGGTATATTAAAACTAAGTATATTTAATATAATTATAGGTTAAGCTTTAGTTTTTTAATATATCCTTTATATTAAAGGTTTATATTATTAATTAAAAGCGTTATTAAAGCTATTAGCCGCCGGGTTAATATTAAGGCCCGCGATATTTATATTATTATTTAAAAATAACTTTTAGATTCCGTATTTACTTAACGGGATATTTATAATATTAATGCTTTTATAAATAAAAAAAAATTAGACGGCTATTTGTTAATAGCCGCTTTAATAAAGCTTTTTAACGAGCGAAAACTATTTTATATTATAAAGTAAGTTAATAACGAGCTTAACCGGCTTATTAGTTTAGTATAAATATTTGTATTTTATTTTTTAATATAGAGGCGCTTTTTAAAAGTAATTAGTTTTAATAATATATATAATACGAATCGTTTTAAACTTCCGTTATTTGAAGTTATTAATTAAATATATATTAAATTTATTTTTAATATAGTATTCGGCTTCGTCGATAACGAGAAATTAAAAAAGTTCCGGTTCTTTATAAAAAATATTTATTAATTAATTAATTAATATTCGATTCACTTATTAAATATTATTATTACCGATTATAATAAGTAAATAAAGGCCGCCTTAGCTTATAAATTTACTAACGTATAGTAATAGCTTTATATTTATTATATTAACTTTAATATTATACTTAAAACTAAATAAAAATAAATAAAAAGAAAACGGCTAAAAATATTAATAATAGCTCGGATTATAAAAACAATATTAAGCTTTTAAAAATATTAATAACGGAATTAAATGATAAGGACTAAGCGTATATTTATATATTTATTAATAATTTAATTCCTTATATATATTACGGAGTTTTTATAATATAAAAGCTCGTTATTTTTATTAAAACCGAGGTTATTTTTAAAAAAATATAGAATAGTTTTTATAAAGAGTTCGATAATTAAAAATTAATATTATATTATTTTTATAAGATATACTTTTTTATTAAAACTTAATAAACTCGTTATTATATTTAAAAATATTAGAATTTTAGTATTTATATTATTTTAAAAACCGAGTTTAATAATAATAGTATTAAAAACTATCTCTTTAATAATTTAAGTTATTTATACCGACTCGTTAATATTATATAAAATATAATTTAAAACTAAAAGTTACGGTTTATATAATTTTATATAAAAGATAAGGTATTAATTACTTATTAATACGTTAAAGCCAATTTAAAATACTTAAGTAAACTCCGAGGTATACTTTTTTTAAAATATTTAAAATTAATTATAAAATAGTATTAAATAATAAAAATAGTATTATTAATTAGTAATTATTTACGGCGCTTTTTTATTAAAAATTATATAAATAACTATTTTATTTTAACATAACTAAGTATTTTTTATTATTATATAATTTACGTAAGGCTTATAGTTAAGATATTTTCTACGAAATAAGACGTTTATTTTTATTAAAAA